AGTTTATCATTAAGTCATACGGGGGCTACTGTCAGAGATATGGGCCAGAGGTACCTGCACCGCCCGTATATGTGACCATCGCCAAGCTATCGGCCCAGCAACCATCAAGGAAGAGGCCCGCGAGGACTGACGCCATCGACCAACGTGGAGATCAAGGCAAACCAAGACAGACGTATCTGGACGATAGCTATAATCTTTCTGTTGCGCATATCGTGTAACAAACTTGTAAACAATCTATTAGTCCGATCGCCCTCTCTATAACCCTACCTCTCCTGCCTATATAAAGGAGGGTAGGGACCTCGGGCTCGGGATCCATCTTCCACCTATTCCATCTACATGTAGCTAAGAGCAACAACCCCTGTAATTGAGCATACGAATACAAGAGCAAGCCATAGCACTGGAGTAGGGATTAGCGCGCACTGCGCCCCAAACCAGTATAAATTTCCATGTCTCGTGTGCTACCATCTGATTCCGTCTACGCGATCACGTTGCTGGATATTGCCGGAGCAAAATAATCTAACATTATTCCTTCTGTCTTAAAATAAGTGTACATCTATTCAAGAAGTCAACTAATTTTAAATTTAAGTAGATTTATGGAAAATATTATTAACATTTACATATCTAAATCGAGTTATTATGAAAATATATGAAATCATTAATCTAGTAATACTTATTTGGTATATAAATATTAATATTTTTGTATATATGTTTGGTTTTTTTCTCGAATACGCAAAAGATTTGCGTACCATTGTATTTAAAAAGAAGAGTTCAACTATACAAACAATGTGCTTCCGACAAGCGCTCTAGGAGGTCTTACAGTCGTAGGCTGGACCGTCCTAGCAAACGTTTTAAAGCTTCGATATTATATAAATGGTCTACAACCGAGCTAACAGCATTGCTGCAATCTATGAGTTGGGCGTCACCGCTGCTGGCTGCGCGGCCCTCCTTCGTCATTTGAGAAGAGCGCTCTTCTGCTGGCCCTGTAGTTGGTCGTTGGAACAGATCCCCCAAAACTGCAACAAGTTGTATATATGTTTGGTTAAATTAAATTTAAAATTGTTTCACTCATCCAGTAGGACGCATAATCGTGCGGTCGATGACTCGTCATGAGCTGACTTATAAATTTATCAGTCGCCTGTTTTCATCTACAGGACGTACGTATTTTATTATATTATTGGACCACGAAAGGAGTGAAAGTCGTCATTGTACAACCCTCTCTTTCAAATGCGTCGCAGCAGTACAAATGTACACTCCCGTCCCTCCACTTAGCTGGTGTTTGATCTAGTGACTAAAATTTAGAAAATGTGTCGTGGAGATGTTGTATGGGGTATTCGAATACTAATAAAAAAACAAATTATATAATCCGTCAGTACTCCACGAGACGATTTTTTAAAACCTAATTAATCCATCATTAGCACATGTTACTGTAGCACCACACTGTCTTGATTTTAAATGCCAAACAGAAGAACTAAACATCAGAGTAATAAGAGCTAATAAACTAATTGATGGCTTGAATTTATTGGGAACAAACTAGTACATAATTAGTTAATGCGTAACCCATTATCCCACAATGAACTAAATTTTAGTCTGGCAATCTCAATCGCGAAGGCCTCGACACCTCTAATGTCACAATTAGCCTGTTTGGTTGGGCGGTGTTGCTCAACTTTGAGCCATTTTGGTTGCCCATATTGAAGTTTGAACCTAGCTCTCCATATACGGATTTGATTTTTGTTTCTTTTTTTAGGCAAACAGGATGGGTAAAGCACCCTAATGAAATTTTATTAAAAAAAGAAAGCAACAGTATAAAGCGAACAAAGCTAAGAAACAAAGAAAGAGAAAGAAAATAAAAAAGATTGCAATCGAGCTTCTAGCCAAAGACTAATAATGGGGAAGTATTTCTTCTTTGCCTGATGGATAACAATGGCAAACTCCTTCCAAAAGACACATTTGGCTTTCTTCACCATGGGTACAACTCTTTGAAAAATGGCATCATTACGAACTATCCAGATACTCCAGCATAGAAGTACTATAATCTCCACGAAGAAAGGAACTCGTAACTGATCTTTGAAGGCCATAAGCACTTGTACCGCTGAAGGAGGTTGCCATCAACTTGAATATCAACAAAGTGTCGGCAAGCAAGAACAAAAGGACACTGGAGAAATAGATGATCCAGAGATTCTTTAGTATCAGCACTGTAGAGAACGCAACCATAGGACTGTAACTCTATATTTCAACAAATTCCTTGTGCTAAGCTGATCTTTCAAAAGAAGTCAGAAGAAAACCATGTCCTTTGGCCGACAAGAGTATTTCCATAATCATGAGAATTTTTTTTTTTGTGTTAGCATGGTCTATAATTGACCTGTAAGTTTTGCTACAAGAAAAAAGAGATCTCCATATGCAAACCCATTGATCTGGACTGTCATTCAAAGTGAATTGTGCCATGATTGTTTGCAGTTCAAGCCACCGTTCAAAAGTTAGCTCAGAGAGTGGGAGATGAAAAAGTGTGTGTGGCTGATGTACAGCTTCTGTTGCTTGTTGAAACGTAATCCTTGGGGACTTGGCTTCCCCTATGGTCGTGCCAGAAATTGCAAGTGTGACCATCATGAAAAGCAACTAATGCCAATCCTTTATAAGTATCCAACAATTGTAGTATATCTCGCCAGAAGGATCCTTTGTGTTTCTAATTAGTCTGGCTCGCATGGTGTAGCGCAGAGTTTCTTAATGATACTATTAACATTCGATTAATGTGTGTTAAGTGATATTAGTATATTTTAATTAGATTAAGTGATATTACTACGCTATTAACATTTTTTAGCTATGTCATGAATTGACAAAGAAAACAAGCTTTGATATTTTCAGATGGTCTCATGGGTATAAGTTATGTTTATGCCAAAACAAAGACTTATCGAGCCATCATAAATGTCTCGTCGTGACTTATGTGCCTAGAAATCATGGCATAAAAGCGTCACCAAGCATGACCGAATGACCGATGTGCCAATAGCCTAGGTCCCATCATCAGTGCCTAGAATTCATGGCATAAAGCGTCCCCAAGTAGGACCGATGTGCCGATAACCTAGGTCCCATCATCAAGGGGCTGGATAGGATTGACTTTACATGCATGCACTTTCGTTATTTTGCTGTCTTAAAATAAGTGCAGCACATCTATTCGACGAGTCAACTAATTTTAAATTTAATTAGATTTATAGAAAATATTATTAACATTTATTGATATATCTAAATCAGGTTATTATGATGGAGAGAGTACGGCTGCAGAGATGGATGGGCGATCTTATTTACCACCACCGCCAGTTTAATTTCTTTCATGGCTCTTCCAAAGGCCACGACAGAAACTTGCTACGCCTGTAGTATTGCAAGTGAGAAGCCACGCCACGGCAACAGTTAGTAGACCACAGTGATCGCTAGTTGTGCAAAGTGCGTGAATCCGTGATGCACATGCAAGGTATGCTGGTGACGGAGTGGGCTACGAGCAAAAGACTCGTGTAACCTCGGTTTCAATGCGAAATTCCAATTTCGCCGTCGCGTTCGATAGGTACTGAGTCCGAGCGCGACGTGATAACAATTTTGTATCTACGAAGCCAGAACGATTTACAACTCGAATGGATGTAGTGTATCATGGTACAATAAAGTTTTTTTCAATTACTTTTATTTGAATTTATTTTATAACAAGTTAACTACATCTGGAATATGGAAAATATTTAAATAAACATAAATTACACCTATATATGCTTCTAAACTACTGATTTCTGCTGCTATTAGTATGAAACTAACTTGCATGATGTGCACATATTTTGAACTAAACTATTATGACTATATTGATAATATAATTGATGGTCAAATCTTTTTTTAATATTGTGAGGTTGTTTATAGCCTTCTCTTCTAGCTCGAAGGCTCTGTCACAAAAATGTGAAAAGAACACTATTAACAACTATTTTCTTCGAATTAAGGACAAGACTTTAAGAGTTTTCTTCAGAGCACGGGTGCTATCACATGCAAAAGTCAATTAACATGGAAATACTCCGACCCTAGTAAGAGCTTATGAGATTTGGAGCAATAGCGACGGCGCAACCGCGCAGGACCGTGAGCAATCCACATCTCGATCAAGGGGGTGTTTTGAACCCCTTGACTAAAAATTAGTCTTGATTTTAAATGCCAAACAGAAGAACTAAACATCAGAGTAATAAGAGCTAATAAACTAATTGATGGCTTGAATTTATTGGGAACAAACTAGTACATAATTAGTTAATGCGTGACCCATTATCCCACAATGAACTAAATTTTAGTCTGGCAATCTCAATCGCGAAGGCCTCGACACCTCTAATGTCACAATTAGCCTGTTTGGTTGGGCGGTGTTGCTCAACTTTGAGCCATTTTGGTTGCCCATATTGAAGTTTGAACCTAGCTCTCCATATACGGATTTGATTTTTGTTTCTTTTTTTAGGCAAACAGGATGGGTAAAGCACCCTAATGAAATTTTATTAAAAAAAGAAAGCAACAGTATAAAGCGAACAAAGCTAAGAAACAAAGAAAGAGAGAAAGAAAATAAAAAAGATTGCAATCGAGCTTCTAGCCAAAGACTAATAATGGGGAAGTATTTCTTCTTTGCCTGATGGATAACAATGGCAAACTCCTTCCAAAAGACACATTTGGCTTTCTTCACCATGGGTACAACTCTTTGAAAAATGGCATCATTACGAACTATCCAGATACTCCAGCATAGAAGTACTATAATCTCCACGAAGAAAGGAACTCGTAACTGATCTTTGAAGGCCATAAGCACTTGTACCGCTGAAGGAGGTTGCCATCAACTTGAATATCAACACAGTGTCGGCAAGCAAGAGCAGAAGGACACTGGAGAAATAGATGATCCAGAGATTCTTTAGTATCAGCACTGTAGAGAACGCAACCATAGGACTGTAACTCTATATTTCAACAAATTCCTTGTGCTAAGCTGATCTTTCAAAAGAAGTCAGAAGAAAACCATGTCCTTTGGCCGACAAGAGTATTTCTATAATCATGAGAATTTTTTTTTTGTGTCAGCATGGTCTATAATTGACCTGTAAGTTTTGCTACAAGAAAAAAGAGGTCTCCATATGCAAACCCATTGATCTGGACTGTCATTCAAAGTGAATTGTGCCATGATTGTTTGCAGTTCAAGCCACCGTTCAAAAGTTAGCTCAGAGAGTGGGAGATGAAAAAGTGTGTGTAGCTGATGTACACCATGACACACAATTGCCTACAGTTATTTGTTGGCAAAGGGGTGGTTTCAACTACACATTATCTGTTGGTAATTGTACAACCTTTTAATGTCATATAATCTATCGGCAATGATGTTGTATGGCTACAAATCAACTGTCGGCATTGCACTGGGGACACTAAAACTGTCGGCAAACATTTGTAGACACAAAAAGTGTCGGCGTAGCCTAACCGAGCCAACAAGTCCAGTGTCAGCGAAAGTGTGTACGGTGAAACGAAAAAAAAACCCTCAGAATATACTCCCCCTCTCGCCTACATCACGAAAAGGAAAAAGGCTCGCGGCCCATACAAGCGCGACCCGCGAGTGCTCCCGCCGCCGCCGCCTCCCACGGACGCCAAGCCTCGCCGCCTCCCACACCGAGCCTCGCTGCCGCCGCCTCCCATGCCGAGCCTCGCCGCCGCAGCCTACCATGCCAGCGCCCGCCGCCGCCCTCCTGCAAAGCGCCACCGCCCGCTACCGTCCGCCTGAACCCTAACCACGCCAGCCTCTACCGGCCGCCCCTACCACCACACTGGAAGTAATCATCCTCTGCATCATCCCCTTCCCCTCATACCCATCCCTTCTTGCTAGGGTTTGGGCACACACTGTGCCACCGACGACGCCCCCACCGGCGGCCGGCCGTCCACCACCTCAATCGACGAATCCGCCCACCGCCACCAACGTCCGGACTCCTCATCGGCCAACTGACACCCACCACCGCCGGATGCCCCCAAGTGGCCACCGCCCCCACGCTCGTCTGTTGGAGATCCACATCTGAGCCCCACGAGCCCCATTACGCCACCCGTGCTGCAGTCCCTGCCGTTCCAGGTTCTGAGCTCGACCTCTGTCCGTGTGAGATCTTGATGGTGACTTTTGTTGAGATCTTGTTCTCCCTTTGATTCGATTCTTTAGGTATGGGAGCAACATACTTGTTTCCTTGGATCTGGGAGCAGCTAGTACTAGTATTTTGATGAATGCAGTATGCATAATACATCTGGATGTTCTAGTTGAGTGGCTCATAGGTGGTTGGGTTTGAAAGGAAGGCAGATGAGGCCTTGCTCGTGCTACTCTGATCCTTCAGTAAAGCAACCGATAATGTGTAGACGAAGCCCACCATTTACCAACAAATACTTGCAGGAGCCTTTCAATTTGTGCATAGTAACAGATAATGAGTAGGCCTTGTTCGTGCTACTCTTATCCTTGCGTGTTTTCTGTAATTTAGGAGGAAAGATATTTTTCTATTTAGGAGTAACTATTTTCATGGTATGTCTATGTTTGTTGGTAACTATTTTAGGAGTAACTATTTTCATACCGTGCATACCATGAAAATAGAGAGTTAGGATGGTTGACAGACCAAACAACACTGTCTTGGTCTTTGAGAGAAACACTTATTAGATATTGATTTAAGGTATTATTCCTTTGTTCATAATTTCATGTTGACAGGCTTTGGACACAAGATTTAGGGCTACCATCTTTGAGGGACTTCCCTGTTAATGACGTTGATGCCACAGCGATTGGTTTTCGCCTACTTCGATTGCATGGCTTCCATGTCTCCCCATGTAAGTACAACTGATTTTTTACTATGTCAGACTTGTGTCATCAAGCAAGTCTAGGTGGGATCATGGGACATTAGTTGCTTTCTTGGCATTGGGGCGGTTCTAGTGAGTGTCGAAGAAGGAATGTGGTATCTGCAGTGGCTTAGGCCATCAGTGACAGACCTGTTGTTCATCACATTCAAATCTCTAACAGGTGACAGTGACGGACCAGTGTTGCCTAGGTTGGTGTAAAAAAAATTGTAAAATATGAATTGTGTCACAGGTATAGCAATATATTTGGCTAGAAATTGAGAATTTGGATATGTTGATTGCCTGGCATAGTCATTTTTCCTACACGCGGTCAGTCCAGTGCTCTATTTTGCTTCGTCTTTTTGTTCTGTAGACTTCCCACTACTTATATCCTTGCATCCCTAGGACATATTAGTATATTACTCGATCATATTGATCATGTAAGTCATTTTCAATCAAAACTACTGAGGACATAGCATATGAGGGCCATGAACAGTGCTAAGAAAGAGTGGTGAATTATATATGATGTTATCAATTAAACTCTTACAAACTATTTGATGGCTACCAATACTTAACAATTGATGGATCGATCATAATTAGAGATGAAATAAATGAAGCATGGTCGTTAGGTGGCTGCAAATTGCAATGCTTGTGTCTGCTATTGGGAGATGCTGGTCAGATCAGCTGGTCAGAGTCAAATGATTTGGCAATAGCGAACATCGTCAGCTGCATGCAGAGGCACAGGCATAGGCGTGTCCGCGTGTAGTAGGAGCACTAGGATCTAATCACTCTAGCTGCCCTGCCAGTGGTGGGGTAGTGTGAATGTGTTGTGTGATGGTGCTTCTGCTAGGTAGCGCTATAGGAGTAGTAGTAGGAGTAGCATCTCTCACACACACATTGAATTGCTGCATCATCTGATCGAGTCGGCCTCTCTCTGTAGTCTGTATTGTGGACTCTAGTCTCTGGTCTCAAGGTGAGGCCTATGTACTATATAATTTATTCCTTTTCCTGCCTTATGTTTTTCCTTTTCTTGTACCACACTACCGCTGCTACAAGCTAAGCAAGGCTATCTTTTCCTTTCCCAGATTCTTGAAACTCCTAAGGAAGAAATGGTTTCCCTAGAAATTTTCGGGTGAGTTTATTGTCCAAAAGATGCACTAATTATGTCGCTATGTTTTTCACAATCAAAGCAATTTTCATCTTAATTTTCATTTCAAGTGGAATGTCTAAGTACACTAAGAAATTACTCATGGAGCTCCCGCAGGACATCCAGTCCCCCTGGGACTTCTTCAGGTTCGGTTCGGTTTCCTGGCAGGCTACCACCTGCTAGCATAGTGCCCTCTGTTTTCACAATGTGTTTTCCTTTCTCAGCTTTCACTACTACGGAGTACATATTCTACTAGTATGTTTATCTTGATGCCAATCTTTGGGTGGTACATTATAGCATTATTACAAGGTCCTGGACTTTTCAGATAATGTCAGTTCGAAATTTCAGTTTGTTTTTGGTTTTGTGATTTCGTAGTGGAGCAGTCAAGAAGTACCCCACGAACAGGATGCTCGGCCGATGGCAAGTTACAGATGGCAAGGTAAAATAAAACCGAATCTTTACAGATTTATTTTCACAAAGATATCGCCATGGCTTTCGGATATTCAACTGAATTGTCTTTCTTATATATAGGCCGGTGAGTATGTGTGGCAAACGTACGAGGAAGTGTACCAAAAGGTCATGAGGATTGGATCAGCCATCAGAAGCTTGGGCGTAGAGCCGGTGAGCGAAGAATGTCTTGTTTGATGTCGCTGTCTATGTTGAGATTTTATCTTATTGACGATTAAGTTGTAACACGATGTAGGAGCAAATGTTGTTGAATTCATCATGGACCATGCTGAGATATCCATTGCATTGGTCCAGGAGAGCAAGATCAAACCTGTAAGCAAAAACATTTGCCCCCTTTGAATAATATTATTACGCTCTACACTGTGGTCTCTGCATCATACTGATTAATATGTTTCCAGTAAAAGCTACATGTGCTTGGGATCCAAGTTACAACAGAACTGGGCCTGAACCTGCTAAAATCAATGCTGTTTATTTGAAATTAGTTTTGGAGATCAATGCTACACATAACATTATGTTTACATCTGACAACTCGTTGAATTGTATTTTTTTAGATACTAGCAGTAGTCCCTAAGTGCACAGCCCATCTTAGAGGTTAGCTTCCGGAACACAAAATTTCTTATTAAGATGACTATCTGCTGCTTTATATGATCATTTATGACTTGGTGCATCTTCAGCCATTGTTAGTTTCGGAGATTTTACAAGCGAGATGAAAACTGAAGCTGAGAAATTTGGTGTGTCTTGCTTTTCTTGGGAAGAATTTTCTTCAATGGTTAGTCTGATTTCTTGTTACAGCTCTTGGGTGCCTAAATGACTACTAGTTCATTATGAATACCATGAGTCCATGACAATGTCGGAATGTTCTGAATAGGGAAAACAAGACTACAAACTTCCTAATAAATGTAAGGAAGATATTTGTACAATCATAATGTGTGGATCTCATTAATTGAAGGTATAAACATGAAAATACAGATAAAGGAAGGGCTTGGAGGGCGTATACGCCTCATGATAGCAGGAGCAGCACCTTTGCCAGGGCAAATCGAAGAGTTCATGCGGGTAACCAGCTGCAGCATTGTAGTACAAGGATATGGTAAGAGCTTGATGCGCATCTTACCATCTCTCACTTCTGTTTTATGGATAAAAGTGCACACCAATAGTTCATCTGCTGAAATTAGTTGGGTTTCTTAAACTACTTAACAGAACTCTAGTAGTCCACTTACATTCTGGTCCTGCAAACCATGTGGTCTGACTTATCATATTGATATGCAGGGCTCACTGAGAGTTGTGCAGGATGCTTCACATCAATCGCCAATGTTTTCTCAATGATTGGTACAGTTGGCCCTCCGGTCACAACAATCGAAGCACGACTGGAGTCTGTCCCTGAAATGGGCTACGATGCACTGTCAGACATGCCGCTTTTGTGCCCAAGTCCTGATCTATTGATCTCTTAGCTTTAGTCATAACTAATTAATACAAGACTTGTACTATGTCTATACATGTTTGTAACTGACTAATCTATATCTTGGACCTATATGGCTCTATGTACTATGATCATCACTTACCTGCTATATATATATATATATATAGACCTATCAAGTTGGTGTATGTATGTAAGATCTAATATATTATTTATATAAAAATCAAGTGAATTTGTTCAATGTGATGCCTTCTATATGAGCAAAAGTGCATTTGTCAAATTATTTTAATTGTAATTATATCTATGCAGTTTTGCCGATAGTTTTTTTTGGGCAGGATATGGTTTGTAAAATATCTTGGAAATGGTTTGGCCAACATATAAACTGTCGGCAAATATCTTAACTGTCGGCGTAGGTCTTAACTGTTAGCAAAGGGTTAACTGTCGGCAAAGGTTTCAACTGTCGGCGTAGGTAGACCGTTTACCTACACATAAAGTGTCGGAGATTCTATTAACTATCGGCAAAAGTTTCGCCGACGGTTTCTAACGCGACTGTTTCTAAACTGTCGGCAAAACTTTTCGCGGGAGGTTATCTGTCGGCAAAGGTGCCCTTTGCCTACAATAAAAAGTGTCGGCAAAAGAATGATGTGTTATAGTGAAAGAAAGCAACAGTATAAAGTGAACAAAGCTAAGAAACAAAGAAAGAGAGAAAGAAAATAAAAAAAGATTGCAATCGAGCTTCTAGCCAAAGACTAATAATGGGGAAGTATTTCTTCTTTGCCTGATGGATAACCATGGCAAACTCCTTCCAAAAGACACATTTGGCTTTCTTCACCATGGGTACAACTCTTTGAAAAATGGCATCGTTACGAACTATCCAGATACTCCAGCATAGAAGTACTATAATCTCCACGAAGAAAGGAACTCGTAACTGATCTTTGAAGGCCATAAGCACTTGTACCGCTGAAGGAGGTTGCCATCAACTTGAATATCAACAAAGTGTCGGCAAGCAAGAGCAGGACACTGGAGAAATAGATGATCCAGAGATTCTTTAGTATCAGCACCGTAGAGAACGCAACCATAGGACTGTAACTCTATATTTCAACAAATTCCTTGTGCTAAGCTGATCTTTCAAAAGAAGTCAGAAGAAAACCATGTCCTTTGGCCGACAAGAGTATTTCCATAATCATGAGAATTTTTTTTTGTGTCAGCATGGTCTATAATTGACCTGTAAGTTTTGCTACAAGAAAAAAGAGATCTCCATATGCAAACCCATTGATCTGGACTGTCATTCAAAGTGAATTGTGCCATGATTGTTTGCAGTTCAAGCCACCGTTCAAAAGTTAGCTCAGAGAGTGGGAGATGAAAAAGTGTGTGTAGCTGATGTACAGCTTCTGTTGCTTGTTGAAACGTAATGCTTGGGGACTTGGCTTCCCCTATGGTCGTGCCAGAAATTGCAAGTGTGACCATCATGAAAAGCAACTGATGCCAATCCTTTATAAGTATCCAACAATTGTAGTATATCTCGCCACCAGAAGGATCCTTTGTGTTTCTAATTAGTCTGGCTCGCATGGTGTAGCGCAGAGTTTCTTAATGATACTATTAACATTCGATTAATGTGTGTTAAGTGATATTAGTATATTTTAATTAGATTAAGTGATATTACTACACTATTAACATTTTTTAGCTATGTCATGAATTGACAAAGAAAAAAAGCTTTGATATTTTCAGATGGTCTCATGGGTATAAGTTATGTTTATGCCAAAACAAAGACTTACCGAGCCAGCATAAATGTCTCGTCGTGACTTATGTGCCTAGAAATCATGGCATAAAAGCGTCACCAAGCATGACCGAATGACCGATGTGCCGATAGCCTAGGTCCCATCATCAGTGCCTAGAAATTATGGCATAAAGCGTCCCCAAGTAGGACCGATGTGTCGATAACCTAGGTCCCATCATCAATGGGCTGGATAGGATTGACTTTACATGCATGCACTTTCGTTATTTTGCCGTCTTAAAATAAGTGCAGCACATCTATTCGACAAGTCAACTAATTTTAAATTTAACTAGATTTATAGAAAATATTATTAATATTTATTGATATATCTAAATCAGGTTATTATGATGGAGAGAATACGGCTGCAGAGATGGATGGGCGATCATATTTACCACCACCGCCAGTTTAATTTCTTTCATGGCTCTTCCAAAGGCCACGACAGAAACTTGCTACGCCTGTAGTATTGCAAGTGAGAAGCCACGCCACGGCAACAGTTAGTAGACCACAGTGGTCGCTAGTTGTGCAAAGTGCGTGAACCCGTGATGCACATGCAAGGTATGCTGGTGACGGAGTGGGCTACGAGCAAAAGACTCGTGTAACCTCGGTTTCAATGCGAAATTCCAATTTCGCCATCGCGTTCGATAGGTACTGAGTCCGAGCGCGACGTGATAACAATTTTGTATCTATGAAGCCAGAACGATTTACAACTCGAATGGATGTAGTGTATCATGGTACAATAAAGTTTTTTTCAATTACTTTTATTTGAATTTCTTTTATAACAAGTTAACTACATCTGGAATTTGGAAAATATTTAAATAACCATAAATTACACCTATTTATGCTTCTAAACTACTGATTTCTGCTGCTATTAGTATGAAACTAACTTGCATGATGTGCACATATTTTGAACTAAACTATTATGACTATATTGATAATATAATTGTAAACACTATAATTCTTTTAATAAAAGTACTACCACACATATGATTCTTGATAAGAAAATTTAGCATCTTGATCAATGGAGGAGGTTAGTGCAAACCAAAAAAAAGTAGCTATGACTTTCCTATTTTTAAGATTTATTTGGAGTAAACAATGATTATTAGGCTTAATATTAATATCCTGATGAGGTTACAACAGTTGACCCCTTCTAGGTCTCATTTCAAGCTGTACCACTGATCTTGAACGTTGTGGTATAGGTTTAAACAGTTGTGTACGCCATGATAGTAATTAGGGTGTATAGCCTAAAATACATATTTTGATAAATACAAAAGATATTTTCGAATAAAATTAAAATAAGCTCAATAGTTTAACTAAAGGATAAAAAATCATAACAATTAATAAGATCAAATTTGAAATTGAATGCAACATGAGCCACCATAACCTAAGCTAATGTTTCGCCTATATTCATGAAGACACATGTCACGTGGAAAGAGAAAAACTATGAATATAATAAATATAAAAAACATACATAATTATTATTAAGGTTATCATGCTTAGATAGATATTACAGAGTATTTATATGCATGTTGTTTCAGAAAAATGAACAAAAAGTATAGCTGGTTTTTATAGTTGTAAATATAAATATCTAATGCTTATGACTTTTAAGACTGTAGTCTGTCTGTACACAAGCACGGATTGATGGGCTGAGTACATGAAAGTGGTACGACAGATGGAAGCAGAAAGTATTTGCTTGATGCACGTAAGTGGAATTAGCAACTTTGGCCAGAAATGGTATGGTCACGTATATACACGTATTCCATCCGTCTTAAATAAGTTCACATTTCATTTTTTTGAGAGAGTCAAACTTTTTAAAATTTTGATTAGGTATATAAAAAATCGTATAATATTTATATTTTTAAAAAGTTTATCATGAAAACATATTTCAGTGTCAATCTAATCATACTTATATAAATATTATTATGTTGTGTATATAATAGATCAAATTTAGACTTTTTGACTACTCGAGAAATGATATGTGTATTTATTTTGGAAGAGAGAGTACTATGAAATTGCTGCGTTTTGAGAGGATGCAGTGAAAACGGTGATCGCAAACATATTGAATTGTGTCAGAACGGAATTCGGTGGTTGATCGCAAACATATTGAACTGTGTCAGAACGTAGAATTTACCGCTGGGCTGGCAAAAGTTGCAACTTCCAGCATCGTTTACATGGTACTCTGTTTCGTTTCACCCATAAGCATGCATGGAGATCTTCCGTGCCTCCAAGCACGGACTGTGTGTCAACAAACTACCAAAACAAAACAATCCTAAGAAGAAAAAAAGAAGAAAAAAAAGATGCTATATCCACCTAGCAGTACTCTCTAGATATTTTATTCTCCTTAATTATGTGGCATCTAATGAACAGCTAAACTCGTTCATCAGAGAAGCTTCTGGACCCTTCGTCATCATCACCATCTACGTTAGCCAACCAACCAGCGCCGTATGCCGGCATGCCGCCCTACCTAGCGGGGTAGCCTGCCGGCGGTGGAACGGCGCGACCGCGCGTACAGCACGGTGCAGAGCGCCGTGCCCAGGGCGCACGTGGCGCCCCAGAGGATGAAGCTGTCCCGGTAGCAGGCGGCGCCGAGGCAGCGGTTGCCGCCGTGCGCGCCCCTCTGGTACACGAACGCGGCCAGGTAGCCGAAGCAGAGCGAGCCCAGCGGGATGTTGGCCACCACCACGTTGTGGTTGACGCCGAAGTTCTTGGTGCCGAACAGCTCGTTCGTCGTCGACGCCGCCACCGAGGTGATGGCGCCCGTGCACGTGCCCACCACGGCCGTGCTGGCGTACAGGAACATGTTCTTTGGGTGCAGCAGCAGCATGAACGCGCCGGGCATGGGAGCCATCAGCCACGCCATGGACGCGGTTCTTGATAGGGAGTAGCCACTCCTGGTCATCATGCACATCTTTGTTTGTCAGGACAAGTAGTAATCAAGAGCTGAGACGTTTGCATGCAAGAGTGAGGAAGGAGACGAGCACAGGTAGAGCGGCGTGCTTACTTGGCAGTGTAGTAGTCCAAGAAGGCGGGAAGGAGACGACCGAAGAAGCCGAAGGAGGAGGACAGGGAAACCAGAGTGGACGCGTCGGCGAGTCCTCGGGAGTCGGCGATCTGTCCCAGGTTGTTGAGGAAGACCAGACCCACAGAGCCGCTGAACATGTAGCTGAAAAAGTACAGCCAGAAGTCAAGCTGCCGCAGCAAGCGGAGGCCGCCGACCTCCTCTTGACTACTACTCCTACTCTGTTCGACCTCCGGCCCTGCCTGCTGCTCCTGCTTGTCCTCCGCCTCAATCTCGAACACCGACACCGACGCGGACACCGCCGTCGTCTCGGGCCCGTCGGAGTCGTGGTCGTGGACCCGGTTCTCCCACATAGTCTCGCGTATCTTGGCCGTGCTCTCCCTGACTCTGAGCCACACCGGGATCAGTAGAGGCAGGGCGAGCATCACGTAGAAGCTGACCATGTGTTCTCTGGACGAGAGCCCGATGGACTTGGCGCCTATGCTGCCGACGATGGCGCAGGCTCCGGTGGCCAGGGTGATCACGAACATGGCGAGGAACGGCGCTTCGGCGGTCCTCTTGCGGTGGTCCTCCTGATTGTCCTTGAGGTCGACCACCCGGAGCGACGGCGCCGCCACGAGCGTGACGACCATCGGGACGACGGCATTGAGGAGGAGGTACACCTCCGTGGTGGAGTACCTCGCCCTGGCCGCCCTCGGGATGGTCTCCGCCATGGTGGTGTAGAACTTGGCGCTGAGCCCGAGGTAGCTGGTGGCCAGGCTGACCGCGACGCGGCTGTGCGAGGGGAAGTTCCGGATGCACAGCAGGTAGCACACCGTGTTGATCCAGCAGATGCCGTTGCCGGCGAGGGAGGTGAGCACGAACAGGTGCCAGTACGCGAGGCCGGCCCTGTCGAGGAACAGGAACTGCACGCCGTACCCGACGAGGCCGAACGTCGCGCCGGTGAGCGCCACCACCCAGAGCGGGAGGTGCAGCGCGGCCACCCCCGCGAACCAGCCGAAGAGCTTGCCGGCGTCGGAGGCGAAGGCCAGGAAGTTGAGCCGCACCTGGGAGATGCCCTTGATCTCCTTGAGCTGCGACGAGTAAACGGGGAAGTCGGCGTTGGGCCCGTTGATGGTCTGGAGCCAGACGCTCCCTACCAAGCTCAGCCAATGCGCCGAGGAAGGAGACGACGACATAGTTAGTGGGAAGGATTTTTTTCCGGTGCGCGCTTGCTACGACGAAGCGTGCTAGTTAATATTGTGCAATCTCAACGAGTGGCCCGACGGCGATCAACGAACCGCCAACGGCGATGGCCGTCGATGGCGATGGCTGTGGCTCCGACTCCGATATGGCTGTGTGGTTTGTTCTTGTCCATTCTGCACTGCCACAAGCCCCGGCTTATATAGTGCTCTGTGTGTGCTTGGCCCAGGGACGGCTGCTGGTGGTAGCGCAGGCAGGCATGCACCTGACGTGACGGCGATGGCCGGCAAGGTTTTAGTTCGCGGTTAGGAATCAGTATTTAATATTGTAGTATTTTTGTTTGTATTTGATAATTATTATCTAATCATGACCTAACTAGGTTTAAAAGATTCGTCTCGTAATTTACAATCAAACTGTATAATTAGTTATTTTTTTATCTACATTTAATACTTCATACATATGTCAAAGATTTAATACGATGGAGAGAGAGTGAAAAAACTTAGAATCTAAACAAGGCCCAAGGTTGGCAACATGCGTACACGAGATGGCAGTAACACAGTGCAGGTCATGAAACACAAGGTCCATCGTCAGCAGGTGCGAGACCACGGACCACAGCAGCGGTGGTAGCAGTAGTGCCTGCTTCAGACCGTCGGTTCGGTTCGTCGTCAGTTGGAAGCTACTCCTACCATCGTTCGTCAACTTTGGGAGCCGCTAACTTCTGGTGCAAAACGTGAAGCGTGGGCCGCGGTCGGTTCACGGCTTGGAAACGCCTCGGAGCAGCAGTAGCAGCTCGATTTGATCGCCGCGCGATCAGCCGCCGGCCACGACGGCGTGCAGGACGGACGCGCTGGTCGTCAGCGGAGGCAACGTCTGGGTTTCTACTACGTGTTAATCCGTGCAAGGAACGTGTTTGGCTGTAAGGCAAGGAGGCATCATATCACCCTGTCAAAGTATGTGTTTAAGATGGTAGCAAGGGACGGCACCCGGCAACGGCAAGGTTCGTAACTGCAGGGCACATCATAACAAGAAACCGGGCTGGCTGGCTGGTTGGTCAGTTGAGGTAGCAACCTGTGGCTTATGAGCTCACAGCTCCTGCATTTGATGCTTCTGATGTGAATCGTTTCACACACACTGACGTGCAGGTGCAGATTTGTCGTCTCGTCAGTATGTACTGCGCTCACGTTCGTGGAACGCACGCTCATCTGGGCCTGCATGGTTTACAAATCGAATCACTGTAGATGTGCTGGATACAGGCAATACTACGGTACACCCTCTACTTAGGACATAATACCTCAAATATATTGGAAAAAGTCTACATAATCTCCCAAACTATTCAAGGTGGACTACTTCACCCCCTAAACTATAAAATCAGATTTCCTACCCTCTGAACTTTCAAAAACTGGTCAAATAACCCACAAACGGTTTTTGGGCGGTGGTTTTGCTACAGTGACGGTGGTTTTATCTTTATCTTTTTTATTTATTTCGGCTAAATCACAGAAAAATCATAGTAAATCACAGAAAAATCATAAAATGGAAAATCTAATTTTGTTGGACTCCACATAAGTAGATCTACACAGTGAACATATAATATGGTATGCTTTAGTACAAAGTTTTTTTTCGTAGCTTTAGATCTATGCTTTTATATAATTAATTCATAGCTATAGCTTCTATGGTCCAATTATGGTGAAATTTTTATGATGAGCTAATTATTGTATGCTTGAATTATAATAAAAAATTCATACTCATTGGATCATGTATAACTTAGTTATAGATTTATTTAGTTTTATACTTGTTAAATCTATGCCTTATCTATAACTAAGTTATACATGATCCAATAAGTATAAAATTTTTACTATAATTCAAGCATACAATAATTAGCCCACCATAAAAAATTCAGCACAATTGGACCATAGAAGCTGCAGCTATGAATTATTCTATTTAATTACAGAAAAGCATAGATCTAAATCTACAACAAAAAAGTTTGTATTAAAGCATACCATATTATATGTTCACTGTGTAGATCTACTCATGTGGAGTCCAACAAAATTGAAATTTCTATTTTATGATTTTTCTGTGATTTAGTATGATTTTTCAAAGATTCAGCGGAAATAAATAAAAAAGAAAAAAGACAAAACCAATATCACGGTAACAAAACCACCGTCCAAAATCATTTGGGGGATTATTTGACCGGTTTTGGAAAGTTCAGGGGCAGAAAATTCGGTTTTATAGTTCGGGGGTTAAAGTAGTCCACCCTGAATAGTTGGGGTTATGTAGACTTTTTCCCAAATAAATTTGAGCCCTTGAATTTTTGGGTTTTTTAATTAATTAATTACTTTATTAACATAGGGAAAGTAAAAATACTTGCCACATCCCCCTAATCATGGTGACCTCATCACGGCACTACCAAAATGATGGGAGTTCTCCTAATGTTTTTAAGCAGCAGTAAAACACTATCACTAGTCATAGCACATGAAAATCCTCACCATGAGCCATTTGATAGGAAAATTTATACTAAATATTAAATGCTAAAATACTAGAAGAACCTCACATCACTAGGAGAAGTTGCAGATTCGGGTTGTGCGGAGACAGAAAGCCTCGAGGCCTTCCTTCCTTTTCCGTGGAGATTTCCAAAACTTGATATTATGTAGCAATTGCTACTGGTATGGACTGTGCAAAGAGTGACAATCTAGTTGTTATTCACACATTAGAAATAATGATCGCCCATATCATACAATGTATCACACGTTAACACGCCACCAAAAAATATAAACAATAAAACATTTATATGCTTGTAAACAATAATATATATGTTGCATGCATACGGCGCGCTCACCTGACACGCTAACTACGTACACACACACTAATCACGTACACACACTAATCATGTACACTTGCAAATCACATCACATGTATAATCAAGCGTATCTTATCACGTCTATTAGGCATTCTATTTATGGATGTTTAGCGGTTTGAGTTGCTTTTGTGCTTCCTGTCTGTAAGCTGGTAACCCCAACATAAACCGATTTGTCGGATACATTGCTTTATAAAACTAGGGTCTTCCTTTGTCATAGATCAGCTGGTTGGGTTCCTTGTAGTAGAATCTGTCCATCTGGGTTCAAGTACTTGACTTGGTATGGGTGCTCATATTTTCTTGGATTTATTCCAGATTTTAACGGCGCTATGCTTTCAGCGATGGGTGACTTCAGCGTCGATAGCGAGGCGTCTGTGGTGACTTCGTGAATCTCGAGATCTATCGGCTCAGTCCTTCAAAGATGTTCATAGGGGTCGGATTTGCATACGTGTGTTCATAGGGGTGAGTGTGCGTGTGTGTTGCGAGCGTCTACGTTGTACCGTGTAATTCTAAAAAAAAATTAAAAAAAATCAAGTGGATCAGGTCACATACAAAATTATATAATAGTCAAAATATATAAGGCCAAACAAAATCAAAAGGATTTACTATATCCGTATATCATCAATCAAATCTAGAAAAAAAGATTTTTCATAATTAAACTTTCCATATGTATCATATTTTACAAAATAAGTAATTAAATAAAGATATATTTCATATAGGTGATCATTAACTGTCCTATCGTTACAATTGAATGGCTTATAGTCATTTGGAAGTATCATAGTAAAATCCGTTGGATACCGGTTCAGTTTTATGTTTAAGTATGCACCTTGGTTTAGTTGTCTTGTCGATGATCTACGGCATCATCGCCCTTGCACGGTTCACGTGGAGCGGCGGTCGATCATATTTAGCCAGTTCAGCCTCAGCAGAAAGACGTCCCACCACTTGGATCCTATAGTATCCAGTATCCTTGTGCTCATGTACCGTTTACAAGGCTCTTGGATTACTAGTGTTTAGCACATAATGTACCCACCGTCATACATAGTTTTGTATTTACAATCTTACAAGCTATCAGACGACTCATGAGCAAGCTAGGTTAATAGTGGCACCACATGTATTCTCCGGAGCAATCCCCGCCGTCATTTCAACCTGATCAAGTTTCACGTCATATTCATCATGTTCGCTTGATCGTATCAGCCATATTTATCATCCATGATACAGTATTTTTCTCTTACAACAAAACAACATCAACCGGCTTATAAGACATAAACGATCAAACGAACATACTGCCGTAGAGAAATAGTATACGGTAATAAAGCTGGTGTGGCTGCTCTTGCTCAGGTGCACACGTTTTCAAATCGATGTCACGCCCAGCTAACGTTGACATCACCATGAATTAAGGCCGTAAATATCTTCGGCGATCTCCTATCTGAAAGGCTGAAGACAAGATTTAAGGCAGTGGCGGATTTAGGCCTGGGGCCGCTAGGGCCACGGCCCTAGGCGTTGGGCTAGGTTTTCTACACTGTAGACTACTGTAGCAAGAATGCCTAATACAACCAGCCCATTAACTCTATTGAGTGCCCTAGGCGTGGATTTGGCCTAGTTCCGCCACTGATTTAAGGCATGGTTTCCTTGCAGACGCTGGCGTCCCGGCGAACGGATATGTGGTATATTGTTAGGACTGTCTAATGGGACGTTATCTATTAGGGTTTGGAACCTGATGATCGTACCTTTTTCGGTATTTTTCTAAAAATTTAGGGTACATATGCGTGCACGTTCGGTGGTACTGCGTGTTTCCAGCGCATGGGAGGCAACGCCTCCCAATCCCTTTTTTGTATGTGTATGGACGCACACATGTGCGTGTGCGTGTTGTGTGAGTGTGGAGTGTGTGGGTTGTGTTCGTCAAATTGTACCTAATCGTGTGCCTGTACGTGTGGTGTGAGTATGAAATGTGTGAGTTGTGTGCGTCCAAATTATACCGATAAAAAAAAAACTGGCGCCCGGAGGTCACCACACATGGCGCATCTCAGCTCTCGAATCCTCCTCTCCCGCTGGACCACGAAGTCATGTTTGGTTTAGCCGTTTATGGGTAACTGAAAGCAAGGATTAGGACTTCTGTTGTCTTCACAAAAAAATTAGGACTTCTAT